TGGTAGTGGTAGTGGTAGTAGTCGTAGCAGCAGAAATAGTAGCAGTAGTAGTAGTAGTAGCAGTAGCAGTAGGAGGAGGAGTAGTAGTAGTAGTAGTAGTAGTAAAAGTAGTAGTGGTTGTTGTTGTAGCATTTGAAGTTGCAGCAGCAGTCGGAGTGGTAGTGGCATTGGCAGTGTCTGGCAGTGGCGGCGGCAGTAGCGAGTAGCAGTACCCGTAGCAGTAGCAGTACTCGTACTCTTATACTGATTTATGAGTATCGCACTGTATTCCCTCGTGGTAGCGACAGTAACGGTAGCGACATAGCAATTGTAGCGTGAGATTTCCCCATCGTATCATTACGTAGTAATGTTCATCGTAACAATGATCATATCAACATTATTCTCCTAAACCCTAAACCCAAAATCCTAAATCCTAAACCCATTGTTCTTGATGGTGGCAGCCGGGGGCCTGCGTGTGCCTGTGATAAAAGAGGCGCTGGGGCTCGGTCGCATTTAGCGCCCAGGAAGACAACAAATGATCCCATAAGCCACGAAAAGACATTCAAAGTAATCTTACTAGTAATAACTTTCGTCATATCCCTCATGACATGCCAACACTGTCAGTCATCCCAGCACGCACAGATGCACGCCTCAGCCCTAAACACACCCAATTCCTAGCCGAAACCACAGACCGAAGCCACTCGTGTAGAGTACCACAGGTCTCACTAGTCCACCTACCAAGACTGCAAGAGATAGCAAGCAACAATCACAAACACCCGGATTTGCGGATGGAAGACTATACCGAAGAATGATTTCCATGGATCCGGAGCCGAAAGGAGCCAAGTGCCCAAACCAGATTTTTTTCGGAATACCCACCATAGCAAATCTTCTTCTCCATCCCAGTATCCGGCTGCCTCCGCCTAAACTTGCGGAACCGCTGTCTGAAAGACATGCCTGGTCTTGACTACACACGATCATAGTCTCGCAACCCTAAACCAGCCCAGCCCTCATTTTGTCTAAGGCACTTCAAGTACAGCATTCTCAATGAGGTGGGCGACTACAAGCTGCTCAGCAGCAACTGACTTTGTGGTTCTGGTTGTAGGGCTTCGAGGCTATAATTCCATAATGGGCAGAATGTTTACGTTTTTCGAGTTCAGGGCTGTGGGTTCAGGGTCTAGGGTAGGCACATGGTACCCAGTCCATTTGGGTTCACGTGGTGTGACAACCGTTGCTTTAGGTCAGGCTAAGTTTCCCCAGTTGAGGCTTTCTGTGCTGATTGCTCTGCTGACGATCTCGCTATCTATCTGCGCGCACGAGAGAAGAGAGAGACGGCACTTTGCATTCCGACCTCTTGTAGCTTCAGTTCATCACTAGCCCAGACCTTCCAATATCTCTTCATTCAGAGAAATGTTTAATTCATATTAGGCATCCCACTATAGCTTACATAAGGTACACATTCCTTAATTAAGCGATATTGTGGATGGTTTGGGAAGTGGGCGCGATGCTTTGCTGGTCCGGAACTCCAAAACGCCAAGCTGCCAAGAAAGAAAACCCTGCACTTCGATGGACAGGTGGCATGCAAGGGTTTAGGGCTTAGGGAAAAAAGTAACAGCCCTTAAACCCTAAACCGTAGACCCGAAAACCGAACCTCTCTACTGGCAGTTACCCATGAAGCTTGACGTGCACTAAGGGCCTCCCTACACTGTCAGGGACTAGTTGTTTAGGGTTAAGGGCTCAGGTCCTCAGCCCTAATGCCTAAACTGCCCAGGGGTTGTTTGTTTAGGGTTCTATTTTGATCGACTCAGGGTGTCAGTGCTGATAGGTTAGAAAGGTATAGGGCTGTAGGGGTTTCGGGGGTTTAGGCTTTAGGGTTTTGGGGTTTAGGGTCGAGGATTTTGGGCTTGTCCTTGAAAGTACACCTTGAAAAAAAGGGACCTCCTCTCCCTCGTCCTAAGGATGAAATCTGGCAAGTTCAAGCCGAGCTCTCAGCAGTCTTGTCGGCGCTCGCCAGGTTAGCGGTATGGGGTGCATCAGGGCTTGCGGGTTTGCAGCTCCACATCTTGAAGCCCACGTCCCAAAGCCGAAGTCGTGATAGGGATTCGTGGCTTCAGTGCTCTTTAGAATGATGTTGGCTTTTTATGAACATAAGCTCCAAGGCGCCATGTAAAAAGCCTTGTGTTCCATACGGTTGTAAGGGTGCTTGCAGGAACTCGAAGCCCTAAACCCTAAACCCGTCGAAGCCCCAAGAGACAACACCTCCAACCTCCCAAATCCCGAGAACCAATGACACGTAATGCCTTGACCCGGTGCGTAGCGGTTTAGGGTTTAAGGTTTAGGGTTTAAGGTCTAGGGTTTAAGGTCTAGGGTTTAGGGTTTAGGGTTACGTTAAAGGCTTTGTAGGCCGTGATGTCCAGGTTCAGGGGAAGCCACTGAACTGTGGAAATGCTAGTATGCTAAACGAGAAGCTTCGAGTTGAGAATTTTGGGAATTTAGGGTTTAGGGTTTTAGGCCCTAAGCAAGGAATCTAGAACTACATCCCGACATGCAACGAGCTCTGAACCTTTGGCGACATGTCTTGCTCCCGATGTTTGCCGAGCCGCCGCCGGGGTCTAGTCGTCCAAGCTTTCTTACGGTGGCACGGTTGAGGCATAATGGCTTCAGCTTCAGTGTTTAGGTCCTCATCAGAGGTAGGGCTTTCAGTTTGCCAGCCTAGAACGTAGCGATAGAAGTTTGAACAGTTCGGATTCTTTTTGCAGGGAAATAGATTTTGTCGGTTCTAAGGGTTCCTAAGTTGAACCTGAAACATTCGTCATGGAAGGATACTGAAGCAAATCCCTTCGGTTTGACGCTTCGTTTGCAGGTTTGCGGTTTGAGATCAATGTAGGAGGTTTATAGAGTTTAGGATTTAGTGGGAATTGCAGACTGTCGCCAGATCTGGTGGAATGCCAAAACACCAAGCACGGAGGTCCTGAACATTCAACCCAAGTCGTGATTCCCGCCGTGGGAGCTTCTTAGTTAGAAGGGTGGCAATCCTGTCCGCGTGTCCTTAGTGTCCTTATATCTTCAGGTTCCTACTGTTGGTCATTTTGTCCAATATGTGCGCCCAAAGCCAATAAACCCCAAACCCTAATCCCAGATCCCCAAGCCAAGCTTGCCGATGGCCGAGGTTCAGGTTGGAGTACGTGTCGTCGCAGGGTACGGCTGTTGCGATTTGGGAGTGACCGCGCTCGCACTAGGAGGATTTTTGGTTTGCAGTGTTCAGAATCTACCTAGCAACCTTTAGGATGTCTGGCGAGAGCTGTTGAGTAAGTAGCATGGAAACGAAGGCAACGGGATGGACACGGGTTCCACGGAACACGCACAAGTGCAGTGCTTAAGTTGTTCATAGACAGTATCAGCGGTAGCTTCCGAGTGTGGCGAACAGCAAGAACATTGTAAGAACAAGAACAACCATCACCCTCACCAATCAGGAGAGGAAGAACAAGTAGAACAATAGTAGAAAGCAACAGACCGGCACAACTACAACTGTAACTACGATTGCGACGACAACTACGGCCGCGACCACGACCACTTCGCCACCACTACCAGTACCACAGCGACGACGACAACTACGACTACTACTTGTACTACTACTACTAACT